GCCGACTGACAGGTGGAGACGACGAAGAAGGCGACGGCGAGAAAGTAGCCGTGCCAGACTGGTTCACCCGTCGAATCGGGGTTAGAGATGAAGGTGATGAAGATTCTGCGGGTAAAGTAATATGATAAAGTTTTTAGTGTGATAAAGATAAAATTTTTTGGTTCAACTATAGGCTATTGTGCTTACTTTTGCAGCTGTGGATTGATAAATTGCACCATCTCAGTGCCCAGCTTCAGCAGTGCACCGGCGGCGAAGGGAAGCGCCCAGGCGCGAAGAATCGTCCCCAGGACGCCCGGCTCTGAGGGCTTTTTTGAGTTACTTTTTGAGGGTAATTTCCGGAACCACTTTTCGTCGTACTGTGGGGCAATGGCGCTGGTGAGGTTCTCCGAGCTGAGCAGCGGCAGGTCGTCGAGGGTGAGCGCCTTCCGGTAGCCGACAATGGTCAGGGCATTCAGCCACCAGAAGGTGAGCAGCGAGAGGAAGCTAGCGCTCTGGTCGGGACACTCTTGAGCTGCGGAAGTGGTGGAAGGTAGTTCATTTGGTGGTGGTGAATGGATGTTTTTCTGAACTCCATTGCCAACCTCATTTTTGTAGCCGTTACTTTCATTGTTGAAACCATTTAAATTNAAAGCTGGCGCTCTGGTCGGGACATTCTTGAGCTGCGGAAGTGGTGGAAGGTGGTTCATTTGGTGGTGGTGAATGGATGTTACTTTTCTGAACTCCATTGCCAACCTCATTTTTGTAGCCGTTACTTTCACTGTTGTAACCATTGCTATTTGAATTTTGTTGATGACCTCCTGCTTGAAGTTTCCCCTTGTTGTTGGCGGCATCTGATAAGCCTTTTTGATGACTGGCAGAGACTTTCCGATCGGCAACGCAGACGAGCAGGAAGAGGAGAAAAAGCAGCACAAAGTGGAGGACAAAGAAGGCGAAAGACCGCGGACTGAGATGCGGAAATTGAACTCCGTTGTCATCTAGATTGTCACTTCGATAGTAGGCGGAGAAGGTGTACAGACTGGGCAGGGCGAAAACGAGCGAGGCAAAGCTGAACAGCCACACAATTCCACTGGTGTGATAGCCTCGACGACGGTGAATATTTAGAAGGAGTAGAAGAAATGTCTGTAAAAAACTATTTTTAAAATTTGCTTTCAAACAAGTGTTTACTTACAAAAGTAACTGCATTGACAATTGAGTACACCAGGTCGGCCCAAGTCACCGCCCGGTACACTGGATAAGTTTCCTCAACTACTGCCAAGTAATCATTTCGATGGCCAATGTCCAGTCCTAGTTGGACTACACTTTCGACAATCACCGCGCCGACCACCAGAAACTTGGTCACATTGTAAAGGCAAAAGGGAATAGAAGATGACTGTTTTTGACGGCCGTTTTTGGACGCAGCTTTGCAGGCAATGTACAGCAGCTGAAGTCCACCAAAAATCCAAAGAAAAGCTGCAGGAGCGTAAACGGGCAGCGTTCGGAGAAAGCAGTCGGTAAATCGAGGCTTAGCGGCGTCCCAGGAAAGGTCGGCGTCCCAGAGGTCGTCAGTGCAAAATTGGGTTGTTGAAGGTTGAGCTTCAAGCAAAGTGGACATAGCTGAAGCAAACTGTTTATCAGCAAAAAAACAATGTTTTTCTAAACCCTTTTTCAAACGTTGCTATAAAGTTGCTGTTGTTCCTTTTTCTGTGCCGTTAAAGTGCACACACCAATATAATACAGGTGTTTTTATACTGATAAACCTTTTTTACCTTTAACAATTCTTAAAAAGTGAAGAAAGAGAATGAGAAAAAGAGAAAGAGAGAGAGAGATAGAGAGAAGGTAAAGTGCAAGCTGATTATGATCATTTCTCTTTGTTATCTCTTTTTTTCATTTAACCCTGTAAAACGTTGTGGCCTTACACACACACGTTAGATTAACACGTTGTAAAAACGATGCTTTACAGATAACATAGCGGTACTGTAATAGATAACAGATGAAGATCATTTTAATTATTACCAGCTCAAACGTCTGCAGAGCGTTTGGCACCTTCTCTTCTTCTTTTTTCTGTTTCCTCTTTTTCCTTAGTGAAATGTTGTAAAACTCGTGCAATCCTCTTACAACTGACACAAAAACCAACACTGAAAAACTGTAATAGGACAAAGTTGTTTGTGTGTATTATTTTTAGTACTTGGTTTTACAACACAAAAAAAACTTTTTTGTTTGATACTTTAGGGCAAAAAAGTTACCCTTTTTTTAAGGCAGTTACCGTTCATCATTAGTACAGTGTACATTGAGAAGGAAAAAGGAAAGTGCAAAAACGTCCGGTGATGCCTTGCACTTAACAGAGAGAAATCGCTCTTTTGGTTAAATAGCGCCTTTGAAAGTCTAAAGTGATAAACTGATTTTTAAACTTAAAGAACTTGCACTAAAGAGGGGTGCATTTTTGCTTAACTCAAAAAAGCCGACAGGACTACTTTATTTTGTTAAAACAACAGGGTTTTTTATTTATTAAAATCATCACTACTCCTTGAGTCAAGTAAACACGTTCAGTTGTACTGATTTTTGCAAATGAACATAAAGTACGCCGAGCCGTAGGAGAGAATCTAGTGACGATAATAGCAAATTAAGAATAATTTAAATATAAACAAAATCTTTATCAACTTACCAAGTGGTACGTCTGCGAGTTGATGCTGTACAAGTTGAGCAGTTTGAAACAGTACCAGCCTAGGCTCTGCTGTCCTTCAGCGGACAGCAGTATTTGACCCTAGGGTTTAAAACATTGATCAATTTTTTAGTAACAAAAGAAAACTTAATCAATTTTACATACTTTTACAACACCACCACCACTACCACCATTTTGTTTTCTATACGATTGAATCGTCCTCAAGTGGCACTGCCCGTTTCTAAAACTCTGAAAAATCTTCCTCGCCGACACCTCAATGTTCACATTAAGTCGGCCCACGGCGGTGGCCACCTTGCACAGGTAGAAGACGGCGGTGTTGCACTGGGCAATGGCAAAGTAGAAGAAAACTCGTGAAAACGAGGATCCCAATCCTAATCCCTGAAAAAAGATCACGTACAGGAGATAGCACTGTACGAGAATGTAGTAGGGAAAGAGAGCAGAGAGCAATGGCCAACAAAAACGGTTGTACTCGGCGATTAGGCGACAGAGGAAGACGGTTCGAGACTGCAAAACTCGAAATGACGCCCAAAATGCCGTCACTTGACTGTGACAGTTTTTGTAATAGGAAATTTCATTTTGAAATAAAACTTCCTCATCATCATCACCAGTAACTAGAATTTTTTCAAAATTTGAGCCTCTTCGATTCTTGCTCTCCAGGTAGCGGTACCGTTTCAGCAGGAACCGCTGCAGTGTGTAGATGTACCGACAGGCGAAGACTATGAAGAGACTGGTGCCGAAAAGAGCTAAATTGAGCATAAATTGTCAGGTTTTTTTTGTTTCAGCTAAAAAAGAGGTGATTTACCGTAAATCATGTAGAACATGAAGAGAGGAAAGAGANCTTCAGCAGGAACCGCTGCAGTGTGTAGATGTACCGACAGGCGAAGACGATGAAGAGACTGGTGCCAAAAAGAGCTAAATTGAGCATAAATTGTCAGGTTTTTTTGTTTTAGCTAAAAAAGAGGTGATTTACCGTAAATCATGTAGAACATGAAGAGAGGAAAGAGAAACAGCCAAAAGAGTGCTGAAAAGGTGTTCAGTTGGTACTTCTGATTTAGTAGTAAATTGGCGTACAGGAAAAGATAAAGTCCAAATAGGAAAACGGCCAGCACCAATTGACTAGGTCTTTTTACCTTCAGCTGGAATGAACGCATCTCCTTGCTGACCGCCTTGCTCAATTCTGAAAAAATACAAAAATAGTTGTTTTTCATTTATTACCGCCCATTTAAAGTACTCACTTGTGTCGCCTAAAAACACTTGTGTCCTATTTGAATCTTTAGTTTGATTTACAGTTAGCTGATATTTGCGGCCAATTGCCGGCGTCACAACTAGAGCTCCAAAAACGAGCAGAGAAATGACCACATCAAGACCGATGGCAACGTCCATCTGCCGCCAAATGGCTACTTGAATTACCTGATGGGTAAATATCACCGGACTGCTGATCAGTGAGCTCAAGGTAAAGTTTGAACCGTTTTGAACCTGCATTCCAAACGTTCCAAAAAGTGAAGTCAGCAGAATGATGATCAATGGAAACAGAAATTGCCTTCGATGACATTTGACCTTGTTCAAGTACTCAAGCTCGGTTTGATCATTCCTTCCCTCTTCTTTATTTGACAAGGTGACCATTGGATCACATTGGTGGTGCAATGCAAGTAAATGCCGCATTGCGGCAGTGCTAAAATGACAAATAGTTGATTTTAAAGATTTCATAATTAGGCCGACTGTTGTGGTAGTTTTTAACTTTAAATTAAAAACCGCATTTATTTGTTTTGCGTTCATATAAAAAATTTGTTTGATAAAAAAATCAACTAATATTTAGTCGTTGAAAACAACTAGTTAAAAAACAAAAGATTAAGTCTACTCATTAATTAAATAAATGATAAAAAAGTTACAAGATTGACTTTAAAAGTTGAAAGCTATATACTGACGTACAAACAAAAAACAAAAAATTTAAGTTTTATTGATTTAAAAACTTGTCAAATATTTAACAACAATTTTTTGTTTTGTTTTTGCAAACAAACGTAATTCAATTTTAAAGTTTAAAACTCAATAGAGCTAATTTGCAATCATATTATCAAGTTTACTTTGTTGCTTGTAATGAAATCAATAGTTTTATAAGTGCAAACTTTTGAAACTTTGTTTCAATTTTATTTAGTACTTTGAAGTAGAAAGAAAAGTACTTTACAAAATTGATTTTGATAAAAACAAAAACATTTTGTGACAATTCTACAATATTTTGATTTTAATGATAAAACTTTTTTAAATAATTCAAGCACAAAAAAATACTTAAAATTTAAATCAAAAATAGTAGTTAAACACATTTTAAATCAATTTAAACTTAAGTTTGAGAACAAAACAAAAATATGATTACAAAAAATATTTTGCAATGTATTGGCACTGAAGAAAGAAGATCACAAAAACATTAGAACAAAGATAAAAGCAATTGTAGAATTTTAATTCCAAGCATTTTTCTAAACTGATTTAAAATTAAAAACTATTTTGGTTTTGAAAACTTTTTCTAATTTGCTTTTAGCATGTAGGTAAACAGTTTAAGTAAATCTCAGAATAATATACTTTGTATTAGTTGGGGACAATTGAATATTGAGCCTGCTGTAGCTGACTGTATCATCGAGGGAGGGCGCCACGACGGAGCGTGGCAGACAGCTGCAGTGAGGGAAAACTGTCTGCTTTTCTGCTGCCTTCATACAGCAAAAGCGAGTAAAGTTTTNTCATAAGTAAGCGTTAAAAAGGGTAGTGAAAAGCAAAAAATAAATAAACTGCAAGTCAACTGCAAATACTGCAGTACATGCAAATAAAACAACAGCAAAGCAAAAATCCTACAAAAGCGAGAGACAAATAGACGTAAAATTGTTAGCCTTACTGTCGGTGCTCTCGAAGAACATGAAATCCTAAGGGGGGAAAAAGCACAGAAACGTTAGCTTTATCAGAAACAAAAGCTTTTTACTCAAAGCTTTTAAAGNTCCTACAAAAGCGAGAGGCAAATAGACGTAAAATTGTTAGCCTTACTGTCGGTGCTCTCGAAGAACATGAAATCCTAAAAAGGGAAAAAACACAAAAACGTTAGCTTTATCAGAAACAAAAGCTTTTTACTCAAAGCTTTTAAAGTATACTGACAATGAGAAAGGTAGCCGCCAGGAGCGTCGCCTTCACCTGCACATCGAGGTCCAGCGGAAAGGTTACTCCGAAAAGGTCCGCATCGGTGAAGGCCTCCCTCGTGAAGCCGGACCACTGTTTGGTGATCTTGCCCACCTTCGTCTCTCTGTCCCTCGTCAGCACGTCAAAGACGACGTCCTTGCAGCAGCTCATCGTGAGGAAGGGGCCGGAGATTTTGAGCACCGTCTCACCGGAGGCGCCACTTTTGACGCTAAACTGCGGCGTACAGATGGACCAGTCCTGGTGGATGGAGCCCAGTTGTTGGCCGCTGACGCTGTACACCTCCAGTTCCTGGGCATTTTGTTTGATAAAAGGAGGTTTATTGTTAAGACTTTTTGATAAAAACTAATTAGTAGTTTAAAGTACCTGGTTGCAGCACGGCGTGCAGCAGCTGTTGCACCGCAGCGGCCGGTGGATGTTCATAATCTCCCGGCGGTAGTTGTCGAAGATCTTCATGTCGAAGGAGCGTGCCGGGCCGCAGCACTGCCGAGTGCAGCAGTCGTTGTCTAAGGAGGTTGATAAGAAAGAGGGAAAAAGAGAAAGAGATGATAAGTTTTGATGATAAATTTATCATTTTTAATGATAAGTTTTTTTGTACACACCTTCCACTGCGTAGTACACATTCTGGCCCATAGAGTTCTTGACGGCGTACTTGTTGTTCGTCTCCCAGCCGGTGAACGCTTCCAGCATTTCAATCTTCTGCTGCACTAGAAGCTGATCAATAACGGTCAGGTACTCCAGTCCGGGCGGGATGTTTGGATCGGACTGTTGCTGAGGTGGAGGGGCGAGGATTACTGAAAAGGGGGAAAAGAAAGGTATTTACTGATAAAGTGTTACTGAAATCTGATAAAAGAGGCGTACTTGGAGCGGCTCCAGGAGGCGGTGGCGGGTAATTGGCGTTGGCCACCACCGGCGGTCCCAGCTGCGGATAGACGCCCGGGTAGGCGGGATTTGTTGCACCCGGCTGCGTCTGCTGCACCGTCATCTGGTACATCTGCGGCGGCTGGTGGTACTGATAGGCCATGCTGCTGGTATAGAGCGAGGTAATTGGCACTGCCTGGTGATGGCTTCACTTCAACTAGTACTCAATGCAAAAGTCAAGTCAAGTCAAAGAAGGAGGTGAAAAGGGTGTCGACACTGGAGGTAAAGTTGATGCGGAACTGAGGCTGATGCTGAAGAAAACTGTTGGAACAGTCACAAAGATGGTTGTGTGGATTCCCCTAAAAGAGGATGACAGGAGAAAAGGGAGGGGTTCAGGAGAGATTCACTTCTGCTTCTGCTGCTGCTGTTGCACTGTTGAAAGCATCCCTTCCCTTTCTTCACTAGTCACTATTCACAGTAACGCGACCAGTAGCGAGCTCTTCAACGGCGGCTTTGCAGTGGTAGTGCTCGGCAGTGAGGCACAGCCATGTACAGAGAGGGAGAAAGTAGTGATCACTGTTTAGAATAGCAGCAGCAGACAGACTGAAACGACAGGCAAACACTGACAGACAGTGACCAGTGGCCTTGAGGGGAAAAAGCACAGCACAGCTATTCAGTGTCGTACTAAAACGGCACGGCAAAACCGGGCTGTTTTTCTAGTAGTTGTCTTTCAGTAGCTTTTCAATGCACTGCACAGTAAAAACAAACGACGTTGTGTTGAGGAATCTTCTCTCTCCTTTTCTCTCTCTCTCTCTCTCTCTCTCTCTCTCTGCTTTCACTCCTTCTTTTTGCTCTATTTCCATCTTCTATCTTTCCTTTCCTTTCCTGTTTTGTTTTCCCCTCATTTTGTTGTGTCTTTCTCTCTATCGCCTCTGTTTAGTGTCTTTCCAGTCTTCTTTTTTCCATTAGCATTGGCATTACTACCACCAGTTTGCTGCTGCTGCTGCTGTTGCAGTAGTGGCAGTTCTTTTTATTGCTCTTTTGCATTCTCTCCTCTCCTCTCCTCTCTTTTTCTCACAGCGATGTGATGAAGTGCTGAGGCAGCAGCGGCAGCAGTGGAAAGAAGTGTAGAGGTACTAAACGACAGCAAACACAGTCAGATGAGGATGAGCACTGGAGAAAGAGAGGGAGAAAAAGAGCAGCGGGAAAAGTTGGACAAAACCAAATCGCCGTGTAGAGACAAGGGGTGGCCGATGATAGTGGTGGTGGTGGTGAGGAGGGGTGAAAAGAAAAAAAATGCTAAAATGTAAACAAATGCAAAAAGGCACAATCTTTTTAGAATATTGAAAAATATTAATGATAGTCAATGAATAATTGAAACATTTTCTTTTATTTTAAATTTCAAAGTNTGCAAAAATGTAAACAAATGCAAAAAGGCAAAATCTTTTTAGCATATTGAAAAGTATTACTGATAATTTATGAGTAATTGAAACATTTTCTTTTTTTTTTAAATTTCAAAGCTTTGTTTTATCATTGTAGCTGTCCACTTTTTGTTTGTTGAATTAATGTTTTTGTGCGGTTAAGTAGTTGTAATAAATTAGTTACAAAACAACAAGAAAGTACTCTAAATAAACCCTACTTGTTTT